AGGGGGCGGACGATTAATCGTTGAGACGACTAATCGCGCGCATCCCTATTCAACACTGAGCAGGAAATCCAAACTCCTTTGGTGACAATCTAAAAATACTTTCCATAAATAGTATCATAAAAGGGGTTTGTTATAGAGCTGAAGGATTGGCAGAGGGATCGATATGTTATTTTTCAGTAAAAATGGCTGCATGGTTCCAGCTAGGGCTGGGCGATATGAAGATATTATATTGGTATCGAGATATTCCACTATATATCGTCTTAAGTTGTGGATATCGTTGTATCGTGAGATGGCAAAAATGGTATTTTTCCCTTGTTGTAAAGGCTGAAATATAATAAAGTGATGTAACTTTATCAACTTAACAGACTTTTCATTTGTTTTAACGCTCGACTTCACTCAGTCGTTATATTCACATTATTGATGATTATTAATCAAAAATCTTATTGTGTTAATATTTTCCGGAGAAAACAATAGTCATCTCTACAACTTTGCTGCATCACAGAGGGTATTTGTTAAGAAATGTTTTCGATTTTGTCTCCCAGTCCTAGCATTAATGAAGTGCTTTTGAGGAGATTTAAAAACATAGAGATGTATATCGCGTATTGAGATATAGCCTAAAAATATTGTGATATAACTTTCAGGACAGAGCCCGAGTTCCAGCCTCTCAACCTTTAGGATAAGCTGTTTTTTCTTGCACCAGAGTAAAGTGAATATTTTTGGGTTTTGGACTGTTGGTTGAACAAAACAACAAAGTTTAACATCACCTTTGTATCTTGAGAAACTTTTGATGGATATTAGTCACTATTTTTAGATATTTTATAGACAGATTTATCGATAATAAAAAATAATGGTTTGACACCACCCCAGCTTGACATAATGAAAATCCTATTATGCTCATTAAGAGATGAGGCAGACGAGCAGCATTTGAAGAAGTGCATTAACTTAAAGGAAGCACAGCAGTAATCTTCTCTCCTTGTGTTTCACCAAGCACACCTTCGTCATCCTCTTACGTCTTCGCGATCCCAATTTCATTCTCCATTTCCTCCCGTGTGCCTGAGGGCAGCCGCCTCCTGAAAGCGAGCATGTCTTTTTCTTTCTCTTTTCTTCACCTGCTGCGATGACGGCAGAGAACTGCCAAAAAACCTGACGTGAGTGTGTGTGTGTGTGTTTGTGTGCGTCTGTCTCAGCGTGTGTGAACATCCAGTTAACTCGGCGACCCAAGCTCTTAAGCTCCACTTCAGGAGCAAGACACGGGTCACATGGCACACACACACATTCACACACTGCATGCACTGGTAGTCCTGCACAGGTCCATCTTTAACCTGTCAGTATATCACATATGTTTCTTCTCTGTGCTGTTGTAGTCGTGTTTTCAGACCCTGTGACTCCTCATAGAGAACATCACCTTCTCAGTGGGTGTCTTTTTTAACCTGCTTCTCGTGGTATTAAAGGAATACCTCGCCCTCCAAATGATCATTTGCATATCAATTACTCACCCCATGTTGCTTTTAATTTGTGAAGAAAACTTTGTTTTGCTCGCAAGCCTTCACGGTGAATGAAGAATCCGAAAACAGAGAAAAGTCTTGACGAACTGAAGTCAAAGGGGTCCACGTTTAACAAGAGCAAAACTCTATCAAAACATCTGTTTACAAACTCTCACACAAGTCATACAGTATAATCCAAGTCTCATTTATCCAGTCGTGTGCTCAATACTTACCAAACACTTGCATTTTTGCTAAAACCTTGTAAAACATATCTATGCTCTCCTCAAAGCCAGACTCCATTGACAAAAACAGTAATTTTACCTCGCTGAACACAGGAGCTGCTGGTCTACTGCTGCCTCCATCAGTCAGTTTGTTTGTGTTATTGTGTGACTTTGGTGGATCTGAAGTAACCCGTTAAAATGCCGAAGTCACACAATAACACAAACAAACCAATCTGTGGAGGCAGAGGTAGACCAGCAACTCCCATGTTCAGTGACATAAAGTTACTGTTTTTGTCAATGGAGTTTGGCTTTGAAGAGAGCGTAGGTAAATTTCACTTCCAGTTCAGTTTTAATTAATACAGTTTTGATAAAAGTGTATGCGTTTGGGAAGTATCGAGCATTCCACTGGATAAATAAGACTTGGTTTATACTGCATGAGTTGTGTGAGACATGATACTATAAGATACGATACGATATACTTTATTAGGGAAATTTGTTTTGGACTCAGGAGCTGCTGCCTTACAGCAATAGCCCAGAAGAAATGAAGCATACATCATAAAAACACATACTACATGTAACAGTGTTGCACATTAGCATTCATGTATTACACATAACACCAGCACACAACAGAGCACCATTAGCAAATCACGACAAAATCCCTAAAGTATCAAGCGTCATATAGTCTCGCTGTTGTTATCACTTCAGTTCATCAAGAGTTGTCTGTAGTTTTGGATTCTTCGCTCTTCGCTCTCGCAAGAATTCAACTAGGGTTGCAGCGACATACCGGTTTCAAGTATACCATGATATAAAAGTTAACCCTTATCATACAGTGTACATTTTCTTATCTACGATATTAGAAAAATATTCAACTGGACATTGAATCTATGGCTGCCCCCCTGACTAAGAATTTCCTAGTTCACCAACAGTCCTCATCAGGGTCCATCAGTGGACTCGTCTCCTGCATGTTTCTGATATGAATGTAATGATTAAATGATATATTTTGGTGGTTTGAGTTGAAGGTGTGAGAAAGAATAGTATCAGTAACATTGTTAACACTGTGCTACATTACAGAGAAATACAAACCGTACTAATGAACCTTCATTAATATAGGCCTATATTTTATCTCCAAGTGCACGTCACACACTGAGTGAGCCGCCTGTTAATGACGCTGTGGGCTAATGGGCATGTAGCTACTTCCATGTTTCAGATGATACGTCATGTTTGTAGTCGACCAATGAAGATGAGTTTACATATCACCTTGGGTTCGTCCTTCACCTTCTCAAAATGATCCCACACTTTGGATTTCCTGCCCGACATGTTATTAACTAGCCTGTGGAATAACCGCAGGTACCAGCCCTGGAAATTAACCTGATGAGGACACTTCCTGTGTCTGTCCTTTCAAATTAAAGTCACACAAGGTCCAGTCATATAGGTTTGGATTTATTTTGACATGGCGCAGCTCCTAATAGAGTTTCATGGGTTTTTTTTTCTGTGACTAAGCGACCAATGAAATTTTGCCGACTAATGACCTTTCAAGTTGACGAACATTTGGTCGACTATTAGGGGGCAGCCCTGGTTAAATCTTCCCTTTATGTTAGTTATTTTCTAAGGGGAGACTTTTTATCAATCAATCAATCAATCAATCAATCAATTTTATTTATAAAGCCCAATATCACAAATCACGATTTGCCTCACAGGGCTTTACAGCATACGACATCCCTCTGTCCTTTGGACCCTCGCAGCGGATAAGGAAAAACTCACTTGAACGGGGAAAAAAAACGGTAGACACCTCAGGAAGAGCAACTGAGGAGGGATCCCTCTTCCAGGACGGACAGACGTTTTTACACAAACTTCCATTAACAAAATGATTTCAAGTTTCAATTATAGTATTAAAATGTTCTTTCAACTGACAGTAACCCCCTCTAAATGGTCATTTGGGGGGTGAAGTATTCCAGAGTGAGTGGTTTAATGTGAGGGCTGTGAGTGGGAGGTTAGCAGAGATTAAAGGGTCAGCTGTGGAGGTTTAGCAGCAGTCGGAGAAGATATACTGAAAGTTAAAGCAGGAAATAGATCTGTAAACTGAGATGGATGTTTACAACAGACAATTTGGGGAATAGCTTCACTGTTCACGTTCAGTGTCTCTTCCCTCATGCTTTTCCGAAGATACACATAAACATTTAACGCAACAAAGGGGCTCATGGGTAACTGTAGGTCACAGACGAGTCAACACACTTGGTTTTGTTGCAGCCTGCAGCAATTTTACAGCTCATTGACGTTTAAATTCAGGTTTGATGGACATAAACCACAATTTCCTGTTAAATATTTTTTTTGTGTGTTACAGTAATCAGATATTGTGTTGTGCCTAATTGCTTCATTTCCATTTTAATAATCAGGTTTTAGTTTTATATGAGTCTATTTTTAATGCTCGTTTATTTTCAACACTTTAATCTTTATTGCCGCTCTTGTGAATCTGAGCTGTGATTACGCCTTCTTTCCAAAGGCAAAAGGTTTTTCCAGTAAAACTTCCAGTCGCCAATAGATATAATATTTTAGTTATTTATAATTGTATTCATTTTTAAATCTCTTTTTCAATTCTCTTTGTGTTTTCTGCAGGTTTTTAATGTTTCTTTGCCGTGCTTCTGTCTTTGTGAAACACATTTTATTGCATCTTTTTGTATTAAATGTCTTTTATAAATAAAGTTAATTATTATTTTTAATGACCTGAACCTCAGCCTGTCACGTTTCCCACTTGCTCGTCCTACCTCAGCTCCACCCAGAGAGGAAGTTTTCTGGCGAGCGGTAAAAACGAAATCCTGCCTTCAAGTGTGGTTTCTGAAAGACCTCCAGATGTTTTTTACAACGGAGCCAAACTCATGTCTCTTTATTATTTGCATTCTGACATGCCCGCTTGTTTCACTTCCTCCTGAGCGTACAGTAACCCCCTGAGGAAGCTGGGCTTCAGGGCGTGTCAGGGGGATACATGCAGCAGTGAATGGACGGGCATGCAAACAGACAACACGCTGCCTGTCTGTGCGTGCGTGGCGGTTAGACTCTGCACTACAGCATGACATGATACCCACACGCAATCCTTTTATTGTAATTAAATGTGTTGTTCATACATGTTTCTGTTTGAGTTTGGTTTTGCAATCTTTTGTCGTTAAACACGCCACCTACTTCAGCTGTGACACACAGTCCTAAAACCAGTTCATCCTCTTCCTCTGATCCATGTGCAGGCATGTGTGAGTTTGGCTGGGACTGACGACGATGATGATGTTTTGTTTGCGTCTCTTTGCAGGAGCCAGCAGTTTGGGATTGAAAAGTGAAAAACTGTGAGGATCTGGAAGTCAATCAGAGGAGCCAGAGAAGAAGACGACGTTTGTGAAAAAGAGAAAAAACAAAATAGCCAAGATGGGGAGAAAAAAGATTCAGATAGCACGGATTATGGATGAACGCAACAGACATGTAAGTGCACAGAAGACTCTGACACCTTTCACCTCTTCACCACCTTTCACATGTTGATCTCATGTCTAAGTAAACCTACAGTTTCTCACTCTAACATTAAAGTCACAACATCAGTCTTAGGAGGTCGGACCTGTGACACTTTAAACCCGATGCAAGCCTGAACTGAACTATGTTTTTATGGATTTTTTTTTTTTTTTTTTTTACAAATTTGGCACAAACATTCACCTGGACTTAACAATGAATTGATTAGAATTTGGTTGTCGAAGGCCAAAGGTCAAGGTCATTGCGACCTTGTGTCTGTCTCATTCTCATAAATGCGATTTCTCAAGCAGTCCATGAGGGAATATCCTTGTATTTGGCACAAACACCAAATGGACACCAATGAACTCATTCAGATTTGGTTGTCAAAGGTCAAAGGCCAAGGTCACTGTGACCTCATATGTCTCACAGCCATTAACACGATATCTCACCAATGCCTTGAGGGAAATTTATTCAAATCTGGCACAGTTCGCTTGGACTTCACAATGAATTGATCCGATTTTGGTCACAGAAGGTCACAGGTCAAGGTCATCGTGGCCTTGCGTCTGTCTCATTCTCATGAACGCAATTTCTCAAAAACACCTTGAGGGAATTACTTAAATTTGGAACAAACATCTACTTTGAGTAAGAGACGAGCTAAGAATTTGGTGGCATAAGGTCAAAGTAACTGTGACCTTGCATCTGTCTCAATCTCTTGAACGCAATTTCCCAAGAACACCTTGAGGGAATTACTTCAAATTTGGAGCAAACATCTACTTTGAGTAAGAGATAAACTAATAAGAATTTGGTGGCATAAGGTCAAAGTAACTGTGACCTTGCATCTGTCTTATTCTCATGAACGCAATTTCCCAAGAAGTCCTTGAGGGAATTTCCTTGAATTTGGCACAAACGGCAACTTGGTCAAGAACAAACTGATTAGAATTTGGTGGTCAGAGGTCAAGGTAACTGTAACCTTGCATCTGTTTCATTCTGTGAACGCAATTTCTCAAGAAGTCCTTGAGGGAATTTCCAAAAATTTGGCACAGATGTCCAGTTGGACTCACCCATGAACTGATTACATTTTGGTCGTCAAAGGCCAAGGTCGCTGTGACCTCATATGTCTGCAACACTGGCTCTAGATAGGGCCATTTATGTTTTTCACATCTTCATGTCATCCACCAGTTTCCTTCACTCTTGGCACAGGGGCAAAGTTTCACTTCTGCAATCTCACTGCCAGATGCCACTTAATCATACACAGTGGACATTAGAGGGATAGTTCTGTTTGTTTTTTTTACGTGGGTTACTTATCCATAGTCAGTGCATTACTTACAGTAGATGGCAGTCTGCATGCCTCCAGTTGAGAGAAGCAGGCAGAAGTAGCAACACAGAAACTAGCAGTGTACTGCTGTGGATGGGGGCAGCATCAAAACATATTGTAGCCACCCCAAAAGTCAATATCAGTAGTCAAAACAGACTTCAGAATTCAACATCTTTCGTCTTTCGTGTCGCACATTCATTTAGTCTTTAGCTGCAAATTAAGATACAGCCTATAAGAGAATGGAAGATTTAAACTCTAAATCTCATCACTGTTTTCCTGCATCCTGACAGGTGTCAAATATTGTGTTTTGGTAGGTGTGTTTTCATATTTGAATAAAGTTACTGATGTCCGAGTGACAAAAAGCCATCCCCCCAACACATACACGAAGCTCGGTAAAGTTTTCTGTGTCTTTAAAAGGAGCTTTAAACACACAAACACAAAACCAGCCTCACGCAGACACACTGCAGTTCCTCAAACTGGTGATATCATGTCATGTGATCCTCACGAGAGGCCTGCTGGCTCAATGCAAGAGATATGACAGTTGAGTAATGAGAGCTCATTGTCAATGGGGCTTGTGTCACACACAAATGCACGCACACACACACAGGTCTTGTCTGGGGGAGCGGTTCCTCTCTTCCTGTTATGACAGGAAATGCAGGCACATATGCTTCCTGACCCCCGTTAGCAGGGCAGCACTGACCTCATCACAGTCCTTCCCTGGCCTGTGTGATGGTATACTAGTGTGTGTGTGTGTGTGTGTGTGTGTGTGTGTGTTGTGTATCTTTATCTTTAAAGGAGCACACCAGTGTGTTTATAAGTTTTAGCTCCTTTGTTGCAATCAAAAGAAAACGACTTTATTTTCATAGCTCCAGTTATAATAACATTAAACTCATCAAGTTAATTACTGACATCTGGGAGCAATATTGCTTAGAATAGGTCCAACATGGCAACAAACAGGAGCAGTCAGGCGATCATGTAGGTTGGAAACAAACCTTCAGGTTAATTAAACGTATTTAGCAGAGAAAACAAAGGCCAGCAGTGAGATTATGACCCAAACTTATTGTAAACAACAACAACAGACGGACTTCCTGCCTCAACTTTGACCTACTGCGCTCACCCAAGTGTCCGTGTGGTTTTCCTGAGCAGTGAGGGATTGCTACCAATATCTCAGGTGCACCCGTTTTCATGTTTAACCTCCAAAATAAAGTGTTTTTAAATTATCTGCTTGTGTACAACCTGATCGTCTGACTGCTCGTCTCAAACCTATTTCCAGCCAGCGACAAACGTGGTGAGTTCAAGGAACTGAAAAGTAAAACCCCAAGCTGTAATTCACAGTAGGCACAACGCTGTCCATTTTCTGTTTCACCTCAGGCAGCCCATTGACTTCCATTCTTTTTCAGCACAGTATTGAAAATCAATCAGCAGACTCTTGAAACTTGCAGGAGTTGTGTAATCCATCACAACTGAACATAAAGTCTGCATTCATGTACATTATTTATGTGTGGTAATGCTTTTTAAGTGCAGATTGATTTTAACAGTCCACACTGCTTCACTTCATATTGTACTGAAATGAATGGAGACAAATGGATGAATGGAAACAAACAAAATTTTGTTTTAAATTTAAATAAGATAGAGTCCTAAGAGTCTACAGCCACACTACCCACTCTGTGAGGCTGTTCTTAAGCTAAGCTAAATGCTAACATCAGCATGCTAACATGTTGATGTTTATTAAGTACGTTTATCTTCACTATCTTAGTTTTGCCTGTTAGCATGCTAAAATTAGCTAATTAGCAGTAAAAAAAAGAGTCAAACTGAGGCTGATGGGAATTATGGATAGTGGAAAAAATCAATACAGCATAGTATCGCAGTATTTTACGTGGTGATATTGTCAATACACGGACACCAAGTATCAGTCTTCTATTAAATACATTAATTATTTTTGCTAATACACATTTAGTACATTTTTTGGTACTAGAATAATAAAATCAGATGCTTTTTCGGTCCACTAGACGGTGCTGAGGTCTCAGTCAGCGGCATTTGGCAGGAAGTTCATCAAAACAAAGATGGAAGCACTGGGGAAAGAAATCAGAAATGCGCCATTGGCATTTAAATCATTAGAAAAAATTTAAATCTGGACGTATTTGGGATTTTTTAACACGGAAGGAAAGGAGGACTTGGAAATGACACATGAGACTTGCAAGCAGTGTCATATGAGAATAGAATACTCTGGGATACTATGAACATGAGGGCTCACCTCACACGCCACCATCCAGACATAGCGTTAGCCGCTGACGGCAAAGCTAACGCTAAACCTGCTTTGCCGAAAAATTAACCAACACTGGACAGAAGCAAACATTGCAGACCTCCTGTAAACTGCAGCAAAATAACGGGGGACTGCCAACAAAAACCTCGTCGTTTTAACCTACAACGCATATATAGCAATATATTTTATAGCAGTATCGCAATAGTATCATATCGTGATCTAAGTACCGTGATAATATCTTCTGGGGAGCATGAATGTCAAAATGTCATGGCAGTCCAGCTAGGTAGTTGTTGAGATATTTTAGTCTGGACTACAAACGTCAACCTCATGGTGGCGCTAAAGGAAAAATCAGAGGATCACCTTAGTCTGTAGGTTCATCCGCTGGGGAACATGAATATCTGTTCCAAAGTTCATGAGAATACTTTCAAGAATTGTTTGTAAAAAATGTTTCAGGATGTCCCTTTAATCAGATCTAAATCCTCCAATGAAGACGTTCTTACGTCGTTTCTTCTCTCTGTCTTTTCTCCAGGTGACGTTCACCAAGCGTAAGTTTGGTCTGATGAAGAAAGCGTACGAGCTGAGCGTGTTGTGCGACTGTGAGATCGCCCTCATCATCTTCAACAGCACCAACAAGTTGTTTCAGTACGCCAGCACCGACATGGACAAAGTTCTGCTCAAATACACCGAGTACAACGAGCCGCACGAGAGCAGGACCAACTCCGACATCGTGGACGTAAGTCACACACACAAATATACACGTACTGGCTTTAGAGCCGAAACAACTGGTTGATGAACTGATTAGTTGGTTAAGGGATATTTGGATGATTAATTTGATAATAGATAAACTTTTAAAGTATTTTTTAAGCAAAAGTGTTCTGGTTCCAGCTTCTTAAATGTAAATACTGAGTGGTTTTACATGTTTTTCTTGTTGCACTCATCCAGAAGCGAACAAATACTATTATCTATTAATTGATTTAATATACTGGCAGAATTATTTTGATTATTGACTGGTCATTTAAGTTATCGTTCAAGCTGAATGCCTCTCTTTCTTGTTTTTATGCAATGATAAACTGAGTATCTTTAGGTTTTAGGTTGTTGATTGGATAAAAAGAGACATCAAACAGTTTGTAAACTAAACGACTTAATGATAATATTAAATTAAGATATTTGCATGGTTTCTTAAAGCTCTTTGTTTATAATCCGAGTATCTTTGGGTGTTGGACTGTTGGTCAAATAAAACTTAACATTTGAAGACATCACATTGGACATGCTGACTCACCAGTCAGTGAGAAAGTGAATCAGCAAATTTATCCATACTAAAAAAAAAAAAAGAATGATTCGTCACACTACTTGATTTTCACCCAGATTTACCATTAGCAGTCAGTTTTTGGAGATTGCCACCAGAAGGTTCAGGTCAGAGGCAAACCCGCGCCTCCTCCAATAAGCGACTATAACCACATGTGAACTTTCATAGATGTGTTCTGAGAGATGTGCCGATGTGTCGCAGACGCCCAAGAGATATCTAGCAGTAGGGGTGTAATTGTCTGTGTATTTGCCCCCAACTGCTAAATGGAGGAAGACGGTATTTGACATTCGTTTGATACAGTGTGTGACCTAAACAGTCGAGATAATATATTTTTGTCAAGTGTTTTCTACAGAACACTTTGGCAGGATATTCGTCACTGTCTACCAGCTGTAGCGTGCCAGTTGGCAGACAACAGTAAGTGTCTAAATGTATGCCAGTTATGTTCAACTGAAGAACATTTAATTTACAATTGCATCAACCGAATATGTCAGTTAGTGGATCAAGGCAGGAACAGATTTGAAGGAGAAGCTATTGTTCCCACGTCTACCCAACCATTCTTTCATCCATATTCTTGTCCTTATCTTCCGTTTTTTTTTTTTTTGACACAAATCAGTATGCAAACAACGAGAGGTAGGAATCACCTGAGGATCGACGATACGATATGATCGCGATACTCCAATCTTGCTTATGGTATTTTCCTGTATCACTTCTCGCATGTGTTTTTTTTTTGACTAAATATAGTTCGGAGACCAGACGCTCTTGTCCGAGATTCCTCCAGTGAAATGTCTTGTAATATGTGACTCCCAGTCGCAGATCAGGCATGTAATGTGCAAACCACAACGACTCAAAGACTTTCAAAGCTCTATAGTGTCTAGGTGCCACAACTGTCTGAGAGGGGTGTGAGGTTATTAAAATTAGAAACTGGTTGTGTGTCAGAGTGTTACTCAGACCCTCAGCTTCATTTGTAGACCATACAAGTGTGTGTGGCAGCAGTGTGTGCAGCACAGAGCAGCACTGCACTGAACCTTGTTCTGCTTTGACTTATGTAACAGTGTTAGGAGAACACAATAGCAAGTGTATGCCTCTGTGGACACACACTCACACACGCTCTGTGGACATTTGCTAAGCTCACCATGTCACCAAGGTCAAGCTTATGTGGTCAGAAGTCAAAGAGCAGGCAGGAGTGAGGAGCTGCTGCAGCACAGAAGTAAGTTAAGTTTTATACCTACAGATCATGAAGCATCATAAGAAACAGTGAATTATAAACATAAAAAGATGCAGACTAATGTTTCTGATATCAGACATTGTGTGTGGAGCAGCAGTGCATGGCTGAACTGATAAACTGATCAGTAACAAGACAGGAAACCAGTTGTAAACCTGTGACAACAAACTAAAAGAGTTGAGTTTGTTTTGGAAGATCACCGTGTTGCTGTTGTGTTTACCGTGTTGCACATGTACATGCTGTATGTGCGCTTGTACCTGAGCTGTTCCCTCCATGCGACCCACCACATGGCCTCTTGGCAGGCCCCCTCAGAACCAGGCTTACCTGCTCTGTAATCCTCTGTAATCTGCCACAATCCTGTTTAGCTCGTTACTATAATCTGTCCAGGCAGCCTCTTCATCTCTGCAGCGTATCCACACAGTATGAACCAGCTGGCTTATTTACTGCTGTCACTGTATCTGCAGCCACGTTTACATCTCTCGCTGCTCTCCAGCCTCCCCTCCTGGTCTTTTGTCTTGTTCTCCTTGTGCTTTTGTTGCTTTGGAGGGAGAGTGTGGTACCTAGGTGCAGTGCAACATACATACCCCTTTTGCTGCCTTAATCCTTGGTGTCATAGATTCAACAAGGTGCTGGAAACATTCCTCAGAGATGTTGGTCCATATTGACATGATGACATCACACAGTTGCTGCAGATTTGTCAGCTGCACATCCATGATGAGAATCTCCCGTTCCAGCACATCCCAAAGGTGCTCTATTGGACTGAGATCTGGTGACTGTGGAGGCCATTGGAGTACAGTGAACTCATTGTCATGTTTGAGATGATGTGAGCTTTGTGACATGGTGCGTTATCCTGCTGGAAGTAGCCATCAGAAGATGGGTACACTGTGGTCATAAAGGGATGGACACGGTCAGCAACAATACTCAGGTAGGCTGTGGTGTTTAAACCATGCTCAGTTGGTACTAAGAAAATCTCCCCCACACCATTACACCACCAGCAGCAGCCTGAACCGTTGATACAAGGCAGGATGGATCCATGATGCCAAATTCTGAGCCTACCATCTGAATGTGGCAGCAGAAATCCAGACTCATCAGACCAGGCAACGTTTTTCCAATCTTCTATTGTCCAGTTTTGGTGAGAAAACCCGTGTGAACTGTAGCCTCAGTTTCCTGTTGTTAGCTGACAGGAGTGGCACCTGGTGTGGTCTTCTGCTGCTGTAGCCCATCTGCTTCAAGGTTGGACAAGGTGTTGTTGCTTCAGAGATGGTCTTCTGCACACCTTGGAAGGCGCTTCCCATAATGAGATACCTCACTCGGTTATCAGAGAACTGGGGTCTAAATTGTAAGCCACTCTTGTTTGTGCCGATTATTTTCTCAATGAATCAAATAATCGCTTTCAAAATGGTGAAAAAAAGAGCCCAAAGTGACGTCTTCAAACATCTTATTTCGTCCAACCAACAGTCCAAAAGCCAAATAAATAAAGTTTACCATCCCACGTTATGAAGTGCTCACATTCAGAGTCAGAAGTTTTTACATTTTTGCTTGAGAAATGAATGAAATCGATTATCAGTGTAGTTTGTGTGTCACTGCTGTCTGCTGGTATGCTGCTGCCGTTCTGCTGACTTACGGTATTTAGAGACGGTACGTTACTGACAGATACCACAGTGACCACCAGTACACAGATTCTCATGTGGGATGTCAAACAACAGTTGGAATGTTGTCCAGAAACAACTTTATAATCCTGCCGACGAAGGATAGATGGCTGCAAACATTTGGAGAATAAATCAGTTAAAGATCTGCCGTGCTTTTATTTAGTGTTAGGCTGACTACATCCACCTCTCATCCACACGCAAACAGAGTTTAAGTTAAATTAAATTGAGACTTTCGAAAACTTCTTCTAAGATTCTGATTTTTCAAAACTCTGGTTACTGTCTATCTGTGTGGACGTGTTCAACGAAGTGTTCGGGCAACGATGACGTCATCTCAGTTCGCTCATGCCCATTGTTGCTTGTGTAGTGAGGAGAAACACCAACAACAACGGCGACTAGTTGACGTTTCATTAGCCCTGCTAGGTCTAATGTCTGCATCCTAAATCTGTATTGCTGCACCACTTCACGGACAAACAGAGGCGTCTGCTGCGCCCAGTTTTATCTGGTCCACCACTGCGTCTGTGGTGTATAGTCTACCAAAAACAATGGTTATGAATCATTGTTCTCTGGTATTTGGTGTATCGTTGATTTGGCCTTTATTGCCACCTACTTGCCCAGCAAGCGTTTTGAGTCATTTTTGTGTTCTAGTGTGGGCGGAGATATTGTGTGTTAACTAGGGATGGATCACGATTTTCGAATTTCGAATAGTCGTTTTATTTTTGAAAAATCGATTTTTTAATGCGACTATTAGTATTCGCTGTCTTATTCCCCCCCCCTTTATTTGACATGCAATTCAGCGATTATTCGAAAAATTGTCGAATAGTTGCCATGATTTTCGAATAGTGTTTTTGCTTGTGCTGCCCATCCCTAGCGGTAACTCAATCTCACTCCAAAGTCGTTGAAATCTTGCGTTTGGGCAGCGGCTTGCGGCGTCAGACACTGACGAAAAAGCCGTCATTTAACGTCAGCACGGCTCGGCACAGTCGGGAGGGGGGCGTGGCGGGACAAGAACAGAAAATAAGACAGAAGGTCCAAGTAGGGCAGGTGGGAGCGGTGGTGGATGGGTCCAACAAACACCAACTTTCACCTGGGAGACCGGCGCTCATGTCCTGTAAGATTCTAAAGCCAAACCCTGTTTTCCTAAACCTAACCACGTGTGTTAGATGTTGGAGGAAAAAAATTTGTGTTGTTCTACCGACGTAGTGCTTTTATTTTGAAAGAGACTGTATGTTGACGTTAAATTTCCTGTGAAAATGGAAGTGTAGTTTGAAAGGAGACATGCATAACTTGACACCCAGAATGTCAACAACCAACACACCCAGGGTACCTTTCACGTCGTATCTGGACGTGTAAAGACCATGAGCAAACGTCGATATGTGACGAGGTCAGATTGAGGATGTGTTGCATGTGGACAGAATTTATTAGTTTCAAAAATACCTGTATGCGTGCAGACAGAGCTTTAAGTTAAAGGACTTGTGTGGAAACTCACGCTGGTGTGCACCTCGCTGTGTGTGTGATTGTTCACACACATGATCACAGCATGATTCCTGTGTTAGCTG